CAGTTGTTGCTCCAGTGATAACAGACTCTTCGTGTAACGATCCCCTGTGCTTGAGTTGGATGCACGCCTTGCATCCATCCTGTAGCATGGGTACCACATCGGTTCTTATCAACACAAGTGGTTGGTAGAGCGGATCCAGCAGCACCAGAGAAGCGATACCATTTCTTGGTAAGATCGTTCCTATCGCATTTGAGAACATGTTTTCCGGAATAATCTCTGGCTCGGTCAGCTTGATTGAGGACGGTATAACTGCTACATTCTGAAGCTAAATAAAGTGATATATATATTTATTATATAACAAGTGTCAAAGTTCAATTTTCCTCAATTTCTATTGGTCGAGAGTGTGTCACGTGAACGTGAAGAAATTCCACTGTTTCCTGGCGACCATTCTGGGAGGGGAATAACCGGAAGTTACGTGATTGAAAAAATATAAAAACCGGAAACCAGAAAGCAACACATTTGAGCGCGCGTTTGCAAAATTCATTCACACGTTTTCTTTCACGAAACATCAGATTAAACATGGAATCTTCGCGACTTTATTGTTCTCTTTGACACTTGACTCCGCCTCGGGAAACATCAGCGGTCTTGGGACCACAAAACATACTGTTTCCCTCGGTCCCAGTAAATAAGGGTTAAATATACGCTTGATTGCAGAAAGGTTGTAGTGTACATTTATACAGATACCTAATGAGATGCAAAATATCAAATGAGATGCAGAAAGTAAAACATCCCTAAATACGATTGCTGAGCCACTAGATTTTGTGGAAAAAACTTTTTTAGCTTGACCTTGAGCAATACTTATGTCTCTGTTGTATAATAGAAGAGAAATAAGACCAAATAAATTACTTTTTATGTTCTGCATCTCATTTGACATCCTGCATCTCATTAGATATATTTATAAATGTACGCTACAACCTTTTTGCATTATGCAGAAATTTTGATCCAACCAAGTATATAGTATATAAGTATATCGGGTGCATTATGGGTAATGTACTCGCGGGATTCAAAGATAAGTAACCAAGCGTTGCCTGGCGTTTTGTAAACAAACTCCGCTTGTTCCAACCAGAAAAAGAATTTTCACCCTGACTAGGACTCGACAGTGGGCGTTATTTTCAATATGAACCGCTGTCTATTTTACGCAATTTTGATTAATACGAACGGCTTTAGTGCAATGATGATTAATATTCCAACTTTCACTCTCGTGAGTGAACTTGTTTTGCATAAAATAGCAAAGCTTTTAATAGCTTGAGTCAAAAGAGAGAGAGAGAAAAAAAAGAAAAAGTAACCACAAAGAATCACTAAGTTATCAGAGGAGAATGGAAGAATATGCCTCTCTTAAGTAAGAACAACCTCTGTTTATCTAGAAATTATATTCAGCCTGTTCATCAACTGAGATTTGACTGAGTTGATGCTCACATAGTTCCCGCCTCTTGACTTTAGCGCTGTTCATAAACAACACTCGGTAGGCCAGCCAACGCTTTGGTACTTAGCTTTGAATCCCGCGGGTATATTACCCATAATGCACCCGATATAGTTATATACTATATACTTGGTTGGATCAGAATTTCTGCATATCGCTGCATATATGAAATAAAACGTCGCAATTTTTTTCTCTAGAGTGATATTCCTCTGTTTAAGGGTTGTGCGTGAGAACATATGTTCTCAAGAGAATGACAAGCGGTCTAATTAACAAATCAAAGTCAGTTTTCTATAAATCTGTAACGTAATCGAACATGAAATGACGTCAAAAATGATCCAAACTCAAGTGAAACCACGAGCGCAGCGAGAAATTTCTAAGTTATGGTAAAAATATATTTTGGAGACATTATTATGATCAAGCAAAAAAGGTCCATTGGGTTTTTAAATAAGTATATGTATAACTAACCTGCCAAGACTCCTTGAAATTCTATTAGCTTCCTGCACTCATCAGTAAAAAAACAAAAACATTATTGCTTTATGAGTAATATAGCCTTCTTGATCTTGGAATGAGCTATAGCTTTCCTTTAGCTTAGACATGCAATATTAAGCTATTACATGGTTGAGAAAAACCCTCGGTCGAGTTGGCATAAAAGTGGATTTTAAGGCTTTTTTGTAGAATAGAGAAAGAGTGCTGATCGTCACTAACTGATAATGCGCCAGTATTAGCATTAGAAAAAAGTGCATACTTACGTCATAAGAATGACAACTGTCACAAAGTACAAAGCCATGATGGTTTTGCTTGATGGCGTTACTAAAGGTAAGGCAAAAGTACGAAAAAAGAAAGATGGTAAGTAAGTAACTATAAGCTCAATAGGCAACTTGCATTAAGAGGTCACGTGATCAAATCCGCCATTGTGGCTGGCATTCTGCAGGATTGTAGCTATACGACAGGGTTTTCCGCGCTCCGTTCAGTGATAAAGCAATTAGGAAACACCGTAAGCACTCAAGAAGTGTTAAATAGTAGTCTGTATTATTATTCCACGACTTTCATGTAAAGCAGTTGTATAAATGATGGAATATCCTGGTTAAATAAAGTGCATCATCATCATCAAGTCATCTCTCTCTTTTTCCAGCTGTTGGGCCCGATACAAAGGCGGCCAGCACAAAGTTGCGGCACTGTACTTTGTCGCACAGAACAGCCTCACTGCCTCCTTGAAACGAAGCTCGTCACTTCTTCATTAATTCTAGTTTTTGATTGTTTTCATGATAACGATTGAGAGTATCTAGAAAAGTGACTTTTCCGATTTTGCTTGAATGACCACAAACCATGGCCCGAAGTCGAGGTTGAGCTTGATCATGTGTTCATAAATCTACTGTATTTTACCAAGCTCTTCCTCGACTTGAAACCATTGTTTCGTGTGGTCATTCAAGCGATTTCGGGAAAGGGCTATTCAAAAACGCTCATTTTCAAGAATAATTTGTATCATGTCACCAAACATGGGCGTCTGTTCCATAATAAAGGTGTGTTTTTTTTCAAAAAAACCTTTTCATTATATTTTTCTTTTGATGGCGCTTTACTACATTTTTCAAACTCGCTTCCAAAACGAAATTCTACCAGATCAAAGCGAATTTCAACTGCTAAAACCGGTAACAAATGTAAAATACGTTTACTAAGAACAAGAAATTGAAAATGACTTATGAAATAAGACAGTAATGATGAAAAGGTAAATTATACACCGTGAAAAGATGTGAAAAAACTTACTGACGTTTCGGATGCTAGTCCTTCGTCGGAGGACTAGCGTCCGAAACGTCAGTAAGTTTTTTCATCTTTTCACGGTGTATAATTTACCTTTTCATCATTACTGTTTCATTAGAAACACCGACGCAGCTCACACTAGTTTTTAGCTAGTTATATCTTCTTATGAAATAAGATATAATTTAATAGGATATATGTATGTTATCTTACCCTAACGCCAGAAGTCGACCCCTCGGTGGCTTATAGTGCTTAAGTGGGCTCTTCAGAGGACCACCTCTATTTATCAGAGATACAATCTGACACCTTAACAACTAGAGTTAATTCGATTTAGGTGAGGGTTTATTTAGGAAGGTGCTCCGTTAAATAAATATCAATCAAAATAACAATTATCTAGGTTCTGTATTTAAACAGCTTCCCTCTGTAAAACCAATACCGGTTTTATTCAACGAATTGGTAATGAAATATTTTTCGTGTATCGCAACTGACCTTATTTCTAAGTTGATTATATTCTATTCAGGCTTACATTAATCATTAAAAGTAAATTGCATTTTACCTTCATCTTTCCTACACTCGTTCCTAATTTTGTTTTTCTTTCGTTTCTAGATCTCTCTTCTTTCTTTTTCAATTTTTCTTTATTTGTTTTCTTTCGGTTTCTTTTCGTTTCTCATCTTCTTTTCTCCTTCCTCTTCTCCTCATTTTATTGCCTATCCATCTTCTTCTTCTTCTTTTTTTTTTTTCTTAACTTTTTTATTGATATTCTTATTTTCTTCTGCGGCTTTTCTTCTATGTGTTCCCCACATTCGACTGTCCTTTTTTCATGCCCGCAGTAAGAAAATACATTTTATTTTTAAATTGCTATATTAACCAGATTAATAAACAAACTGAGCTTCTTTATTAGTGTGGTCAAAAAAACTGTGGATTATATTAACTGTTTACTTATATTTTTTTGTTCTTTGGTGACATAATGCTCTGTTTATCGAATGCAATTATCTCTGAAAATTTTTTCTGTTGATTTTTCTTATAAAGTTACCCAAAAACCGTCTTTTATTTGTGTAATTTTCGCTTTAATACAGTATTAACCTGTCATTTGGATGCCTCTTGTAAAGTTTTAGAGTAAACTTAGGTGTATTTTTAATTGAACTAGCGAGAAGGAGAGTAATAGACGATTTTTTTCTTTTCGTACCTTTATTATAATATCATGACTTAATATATAGTTATCCTCAAAAAATGTTTAAAATCCCCGCAAAAAAACCTAACCTTTATGATTATATTTCATTTTCGTACCGTCAATTCCATCAACGCAAAGTTGAAATACTCCTTATTAAGAAAACGCAAATTTCGCAATGAGAAGCTAGTTTGATAAGCTGTATGTTTACTTTCTCTAGACACTAAAAGTTTTTCAATCTTTTACTGAAGATTGTCGTGAAAAAAAAAACAAAAACAAAAACAAAAACAAAAACAAAAAAAAACCGAATTTGAAAACCGTTGATTTCTTTCAACACTGTAGAAAGAAATATTTTTTGTTCTCGATATATATTATATGATTGCACACTGAGATCGTAAATTTCTTATCTTTGAATAAAGAGCTCGGTCAGGCCTTTTTTGCGTTTTCATTTTGAAAACTTATGAATATTGTTAATCGCCATACACACGCGCGCTAGAGTAATCAAAAGTATATGAAATGCTATAAATATTTACAGAATATTTTTGTCATTTCAAAATATTAGTTTTTGAGGCTCTTTTCATGGATGAAATTAATATTGGGCATATAATAACCCTGCATATAAACGGTTCATAAAGAGTTAAAAAAACCCGAGAAAATCATGAAAATAAAGGAGCGAGAAAATGTGTATATTGGGAACAGCAGTGAAAGTATTTTGTCATTGATATGAATCGCATCTTTTGAAAGTTAGTTGCTTTTGAGTTTTACAAAAACAAAAGAATGAAATAAAGTTATAGGAAACAAGAGATAGAACGAAAGAGAAAAGAATATTTTATAAATTGTTGGACCTAGTTTTGTCACGGGGCGACCGTTTTGCTAAACAAATTATTAGTCTACAATTTCGTCATGAAAACGAAACAAACTACTGAGTGTCGAACTAGCTCGAATAAATGGATACTAAGTAATTAACATGATACATGTGCAAGGACAAAGAGGTTTATTCTTTGAGTATAAACATGTCGATCGATCAACTACTTGATAAAGGTTCATGTTTTTAACTCAAAAAGGGATGGGAAAACATTACAGTCCTCCTCAAAAAGAAGTTTCTGAAGAGCATGAAACAAAGATCAATGAAAACATTTGCATCAATATCACAGTGCCATGCATTAGTCACCACTGCCAAAATTCCCTTCTGTGGTACGTTTCAGTTCGAAGGTATCACCAATATCACATGGATAGACCCATTTCAAGGGTATCATCCCTATTGGCTGATATGAGGAAAGCCATGGTAACGATGATATTCTCCACATGCATAGACCCGTTTTCAGGATTCCTTTATTCCTATTGGCTGAAATGAGGAAAACCATGGCAACAAGAATGATAATATACATGCAAAGACTGGTTCAAATGTTTCTCTATTTCTGTTGGCTGATATGAGGAAAACCATAGCAACAAGAATGATAATATATATTCAGAGACCGGTATCAAAGGTTTCTTTATTTCTTTTGTCTGATATGAGGAAAGCCACAGCAACGATGATATCTCAACATACATAGACCCGTTTCCAGAATTTCTTTATTTCTATTGGCTGAAATGAGGAAAGCCATGGCAACGTTGATTTGGACCATTATTTCAGGGTCACTCAAGCGAATTCGGCAAAGGTCTATTTAGTTTTTTGTTACTGATTTTCCCCACTCGTTTGGTCTTTTTAATTCTATGCCACGTTCCGTACTGCTCAGCTAGTTTCCCTCATTCTTCAGTAACAACACGAAGATTTTAAACCTAATATAATGGATTGAATTTGTTAGCGGTGGAAATTGAATATGGACAATGTGTTTAATTCTTTATCATTAAAAGACTTTAAAGACAGCCTAATTGGTGTTTCAGGGTTCGATGAATAAAATTGGATGTTTTATTTGTTCACAACATTACAATTAGAAATCCTTTGTTGCCATAGCTAGCAATCTTTCCATAGATTTTGTCGAACAAATCAAAGATACAAAAACAAAAAAAGACAATATCAGTCGAAGTAATCTTAATTAGATTATCAATCTTAATGGATGCAAATATATAAGCGTCCCGTCCCGTTTCTTTCCGTGCTGTTATAATTAATAATAAATGAGAGACGTTTTGGACCAGTTCTTTGAACACTGAAGCCCAAAAGGATCAAGCAAGGTTTTCTAAAATCAGTACAATAACGAAAATATACTTACCGCACTTGGCAAACAGTTTACGAGCAATAATTCTAATGCTGGTAAGTCATAAAAGTATTACGTTGAATGCTACGTTCTGTTTACAATTCTATGTAAGATTGCCCAACAAATCGGGGCACTATTTATGTACTTGAGCAGCGATTTTGCTTGGTCAAATATGTTCTCATAATGAAGCGTTTGACCTAGTGACTAATTTCTTATTTAGCAAAAACGTACTAGCATTCGCTGTCTTCCATTACAAGAATACCTAAATGAAGACATGAACAAGGGTGAAATAAGTGACATTGAAGTAAATGACATTGTTTTTTCATTTTCAAAATGATTTCTTTTTTGTCTATTTTGCAATATTTGAAAAACAGATTAATCCCTATAATTTGGAAAATCCTTTTAGTACTAAAGCATCGACAATAGTTCTAAACATTTTTTGTCATTTAAAAAAAATATTGAATACGATTTGAGTTCTTGAATATTATTTATTTCTGTCTGATAATCATCTTATGTAAAATGCTGCTAATTCTGACCGCACGCTGTCAGCAATCATGATCCTTAACTGTTTAATTAGAACATTTAGTATTCTATTGCTTGTTGTCAGTCACCTGAAGAATGAATCTAATGGGTCCCAATGCCAGCTACAGTGACTGGCAAAAACTGGCCTTCATGTGCTATAGAGTATTCTATTGCTTTGTATTCATCAGCTGAAAAAAGAATCTTATGGGTTTCCTTACCAGCGTACAATAACAGGCAAACGCTGCCCGTCATGAGTATTGCATTGCTAGACAGTTAGTTCGCTCTTAATTCAATATTTTTTACTACTTTTACGCGCAATTTTCGATCCGTGACTACGCATCTTCGTCATTTCAAGTTGCCTTTGGTCAGTACACGCAAATCTAAATGTAGGCGCGCGCATGTCCCGGACTGAACGCAAGTACTAAATCAGGCAAAAATCTTAATATTCAGGTCTCAAGTCTCATGACTATATATTTGAATTTCAGTAGTCATAATTTAGGCTTTGAAGCTACTACTTTCATGTTCCGTTTAAAAGCTAGAAAAAAAATTATATATCCATGTCGATCGCGTACCCTTCAATCCGTTGCAATAAAATCATTGCTATATTAAATTAAGCTCTAATCCGCTAGCTATTCCCTGTATCAGTCGGTGAATGGATTGTTCAGAGATACATACGAACTATAAACAGCTTAATGACACAGCAAAAAGGTAGGGTCTTACTAAGATTTCCTGTAGCCTAAAATGCGAGTTTCTAGATATTGTTTAAAGAATATCCTATTGCTACACAACATATTACCCAATTAGAGAAAATAAATTTAAATTATAGCAGGTACCAAAATGTCATTACTGTGGTAATAACTTGTAGGCTGTGATTTTGCTCGTGGTTTAACTGGGATGACATGCTAAGAAATTCTACTTTATTTCCAAGACAGTTTTCGCACAGTCGAAGCCCGTTGTTAAAATTTTCTTTTAATAAATGAATAATAAATCATTGGCGGGACGTAGAGAGTATACATATATTGTATTCTTCATTTGCAAGTTGCTTCAATAATGACATTCACCTAACCCTTCTACCTATAAATAATTAAATATGAACACCTAACACGTTACTCAACAACAAAATAACAACTAAACGAGTGCATGGAATTCTGAAGATGAATATTTTATTGTCTGTCGTAGTGTCGACTTTATAATGTTACTCACTTTTTTGTGCTGGGATTTATGAGTTGGGCTTCTGGTTAATTTTTTCGGCAATTGAGTCACACAATTGTAAAGCGAAATATTTGGCTGGGTAAGTATATTTCTGTTTATTTTTTGCTACGAATGCACTTTTTAAGCTTGTTTTAAGAATGTGATGTATATTTATGCGTTCTACCAACATATGTTCATATAAATTGAATATTCTCTTAAAGTGTTTGCTAAAGGTATCGTCGTTACAATCGTTGAATTCAAAGTACAGGTTGAATTATTTATTTATTAATTTTTTTTTTTTTTTGAGTTTGAAAAAAAAGTTGCGCATCTTTTTTTCCCCATGGTCAGCAAGCCAAAAGAATTGGTTACTAAAGCAATGAATATCAAAATCTGTATGAAACAATAAAACAAATGTATAACCGCAACATCCAACCAAATAAATAACAGAAAAGTAAAATAAATCTTTCACTAGCCGTTTTCCATTTTATAATTTACAATATTATGGAGTAAAATAACATTTCGCCACTCGAATTACTTAGGTGATATAAGTATCTGTATTCGAAATATCATTCATGGAAATCACGGTACGTAATTTTCTCGTAAATAATCTTTATACTGCATGTTGCCAATTTTATTTCAATTCTCTGGGTATTTAGAAATTTTGATAATGATTTTGATAATAATTTTGATAAATTTAGAAAGACAATTTCAAATATTAGTCTAAACAAACCAATACGTTAGTACTATTACGTTAGCAAGTTGTGTAAACAAGCACCGGCGACGTTATGCCTCTACTAGAAAATAAGGTTATTAGGCCCTTATTTACTCTGATATCGAAGAGTATCTTGCAATATTATTTCAATCCAATATTGATATTAAAAATGTATATTTAACAATTATTCGCCGAAGGCGAAGTGAATATCGGGGAATATTTACCGAGGTAAATATTCCCCGATATTCACTGAGGCTGAGGCAAATAATTGTTTTAGTATAAATACACAAGTGACTCTTTCAAAAAAAGAAAAAAAAGAAGATAAAATTTTTTTTTTCCCGATAAAAGCAACAAAGCGGTTGGCCGCCATTTTGGATTATCCTGGAGGTGATTATCGTGTGATAGTGTGGGTTTCTTGACCAATCAGAGCGCGAGATTTTCAATAATCACCTGTGTATATTTACTAAATATATATATTGTTCGATTTTTGTTGTTGTTGTTGTTGTTGTTTTTTACTCTGGCGGTGTTTGGACAGCATTGGCACTTGTATTTGGTCTTCAGTTTCAAAGATCATCTGTTATTTTTTTACGAAAATGTTAAACCATAAGCGACAGTAGTGATATTTATCGATTATTGCATTACTGATTCCTGATTTGGTCTGTCTTAGAGGTGATATTATTTTTACCATAAGCTGCTTCTGAAAATATATCGCAGAAGCGGGCGGGTTTGATTTGGAGAAAATTTTGCTATAGAATATGAACAGTCTTATCATTCAAAGAAAGAATGTTTACATCTAAATTCTTAAGAAGCATATGAAATCGAAGAAATAGCGACCAAGAGATGCATTTTTAGTAATTGCATTCAGTTTCTTAATTAAAAGTTCTCTTTCATTTGAAAGCTTCTTATTGAATTTCTAAGCCATCGCGGGCCACTGATTTTACACRAAAATCCTTTTCTACTGTTCGTACTTTTTTTTCTGCATCTCACACCATAAATCCTTTGTCTGTAGCAGATGAACCAGTATCAACATATATATACCGGCTCCTCAAAGAAGAAAGACAACTCGATATATTTTGAAAATTGAAAACGCCATAAATAATAAGATAATTTATTGTTCAAGAAATGAGATAAAGAAAAGAAAATAGAAAATTAGAATTAACTTTGCTCAAAAATTAAGGACTTTTTAATTTACCCAGAAGCAATTTATCGAACTTAATTGCTCTTAAAAATCGCTTGACTTTTGTTTCACCGACACAATCTAGCAATATTATTACGTACGCTTAAACTAAATTTAATTTTAGTTTTAAAGAAAGTGTTAACTGAGTTGAATAATTTGCATTTGAATAAAGGGAAATATATCTATTCAGATTAAATTCTTTGCTCGTCATGGCAAGTTATAATTCAAAGAATTGTGATATTACACAAAACTTATGAAGTAATTTCAAATTATCAGCGTTTGTTCGGAGATGACATATTCTGGAAAAGAACCTTTTTACTTCATATTTATTTCATCTATTTCTTTAATATATATTAAGCCCCGTTTATACTGGCGATTTTTGCTCTGATTTTTGCTCTGATTTTTGTGGCAATTTTCGGAAATATGAAATCTTTTGTATCATCCTTCAAAAGAGACATTCGTCTAGGAAAACCTTGGTACCCTGAAAAAAACTTTACACGTAAATTCTTTACCATTATTTATTATGGGCAAAATCGCAAAAAAATCAGTCGCAGCAAAAATCACCGCAAAAATCGCTAGACTAGTGTAAACGGGGCTTTAACCTGAAATAGATTAATTTTACTGTAAAACTTTATTTTGTGTACGACCAAACAATACTAGAAATACTTCAGATTTATTTGTTTATTTATTTATTTATTTATTTTTT